GGAAGCACAGCTCTGTGATCAAGCCAGCTAATTACCCGCAGCCAGTCAGGGCTGTCTGGGAGCATGCTCCACTAATCAGGCACTGCGATGGGGCTCATTTCAGCTCCATCCTAATGAAGTGTTAGTGGCCCTCATTAAAGCAATAAGCGCGCACATCACCCGGGCCCTCACTGCCACCCCCGTGCCAGATGAGCCTGAACACTTCGGCTTTCAGTCCATTTCCCTGGGAAAAATCACAGCACGCCATCCAGTGCAGTAACTGACATGAACCTGGCATCCCAAGCCAGCGATTAAGAGAACGCCGCTTCCCTGGGATTCACCTCATTACCGCGGAACAGCCTGACTGCATCTTAATGTCCTCTAATGCTGATCAGTTGATTTCCTGCAGGGAAGTAGGAGGGAGCTGGCAAACCTCCTGAGCACTTCCTGGTAAACCAGCTCCTTCACCCTCAAATGACAAGTTTTTGCCAGAGTTGCGATCTGAGCTCCTTGTAGCATTCTGTAGATCCGCCAGCATTGTGACTGACATTCTGGACTTTCTCTAGCGACGGGGATGTGCACATCCATTTACTGGAGAGCACAGGGCTGCTCAACCTCAGTCCTACTTATTTCGCATCAGTGAATATTCAAATGAAAATAAAAAGACCCTCTCGTCAAATACCAACTAAATATACAGTCCAGATACATTTCTTACTAAAACCCTTATACTGAGCTAGGTTTGTTTCATGTGTGTGGATCTGTGCTGATTTGGAAAAGAACATAAAACAACCATGTATAAAACTGTAATTCTGTATAAAACACAACAACTGAATTCAGCAAATGTGCCTAGGATTATTTCATATACGTAGGAGTTCACACCCAGTCTCTAACCCCTGTTTTTGAAGCTCTCCCCTCTTGTCCCATACACATTCCCCAGAGCTTTTCAGGATTGCAGTTTCTCTGTGGATGGAGCAAATAGGCACTGACTGTATGTATTTCCAGATAGTGGGCAGCACACTCTTCATTAGCCTTGGTTATCATGCAGTGGAACTGAAATGTTCAGAATGAGAAAGGGGATGTTGTCTAGTAGAGGGTTCCTCAGAACATTAGCTCGAGAACAAAAAAAAAAAACATTTGTTTCATCTCCGCCTGGAGGCTCTCAAACTGAGCGCTGGAAATGTCGTCTTACTATTGGCCCTTAAACAAAGGGGCCAGTCCCCCCAAGCGTGCAGTCAGGCAGCACAGCATAAAACTCTCTTTAATTCCATTAAAAGCTCTTTGCAGAAGAAAAGCAGCCCTGGGTAAACTTCAAAACAAGGGGCTGAACAATTGTAGCCCACATGAAAGACAGGATTCCAATACAGTCTTACAGCACAATTGATCGCCACTCGGGCAGCCAGACACAGATCCCAGGGGAGGTGCGATGGGCAGGCCAGGATAGGTGAGTTGGCAGTCGGCGCTGTACTCCATAGCCCAGCTCCTCAGTCCGTGGCTTGTTCGACTTGCAGCTGAAATCCCTCCGAGTACCTAGCACGCAAGGCATCCCAAAAATATTCTTCAAAGACTTTCCTCTTCACGTAATCCCCTCTCCAACTCCACCCCCTTATGACAGTGCTGCTCTTTCAAGGGTCGTGGCCTTGGTGACCTTTCACCCCTGCCTGGGGTGGTGACCTCGTTTGAAGTTCTACCCTACCTGCTGGGCCACAATAGTAGATGCGATTATCAATCAATCAAGGTTTCTTTATCAATGCACAACAATACAGCATACAGCGGTGGTTGTCGCAAACTTGATTACAGAGCTGATCTACACTCCTGGGTGCTTTAACCCATCTGTCTGCTCAACTCAGCATTGCTGAGTTCGTGTGGTACTATTATCACACCTGGAAAAGTTCCTTATTTGCTCAACACTTGCTCACTATTTTCCGTTTTGCTTTCCTGGCCTTGTTGGTCTACCAGGCCAAATTGAGCAAGTTGTTTCTTCTGCCAATCAATTCTCTAACCTTCTGCAGGAAGTGCCAGTAGAAAACGTTTCCAAAGTCCATTAGAAGACAATAGAGGGCCAGATTATATGCCTCGGCAAGGCAGCTCCCTGTACTCCTAGCTCCTTGCAGGAGTAAGACGCCTGCTGTTTTCTTTCAGTGCCTGCTCCTGGTCTAATGTGCCATGTGGGTGGGTCTCCAGCGGGTTCTGAAAAACGTGGAGGTGATGTGCTCTGAAGCAGTGTGTTGATTGTAATGTGAAAAGCGGAGGTATGAAAGGTGAAGGGCGTTACATGAGAGAAAGTAACGTTCCTGTGCCAAAAGGCAGAATTAATGTTGCAAAGTCTCCAGAGCAGCCCTGTCTTCTGAACCCCCCCCCCAAGCCTCTCTCTGTTTCTCTCTCACCGTCTCTCTCTCCCTCCTGTTATCAGCCTGGCACACAGCTCAACGTGACGGGCTGCTAATCCATTAGAAGAACCTGCAATTCTCTGGCTCCTGTGCGCAAGAACATGGTTTTGTACACATTTTCCACTGTCATATCCCATTATCCTCAGTCCCCTCGCTGCGGAGCGCAGGATTCCGGCTGATTGCTGCTAATACCCTGTTTTGCACAAAAGAGCAGAAGTGCTGTGGGTCTCACTATGCTACTGGGAAGGGAATCAGGGCTGGCACTAACAATCCCTTATCAAATCTCGCCGTAGAGAAATTTAATTTTACAGCTTGGTGACAGCAAAATTGCTCACTAAAAACTTGTCTTTATCGACGGCAATTTGCATAGGATGAAGATATGATTTTCGCCTGCTCAAATTAGGCAAATGGCGGCACTCAGGACCGGCCGTGGCAGACAGGACGTGTGGCCCACAGATTAAAGCACGACGGCAGGCGAGCAAAAACGTCACCTCCCAGTCCTCCACCGACACAGACCGGGGGGGGCAGGGGTGGGGGGAGACAGGGCAAGGAGTCGCAGCTGAGAAGCAGGGAGTAGCAGAGGGACGTAGAGGGCTGGAGGCTTGTAATGATATTGATAGCTCTTGAAGTGAAAAGCTACATTTTGGCAGCAGGTTTGGAAGGAGCGAAGCCATCAACAGTAATACAAAAAAAGAAAAACCTGCGAGCATTTCAGACCGGAGGTGGGAGAGAGAAATCGTGAGGCCATCTCCAACCGGAGCGATGTAGAGTACAATGTGGGGAGCAGCAGAGAGAGAGCTGGAGGGGTAGAGTCCTGTAACGTCTCTATCAATTACACTTATTCTTGGAGAAGCACTGAGGAGTTTTAGAAGCCATGAGCTTTGTGATCAGGGAGTGTGTGTGTGTGTCTTAGCGTGTTTCTGTGTATCCTGGTGGACTCAGTCCTCAGCCCAGGGTTTGCACAGTTCTCTCCAGGCTGACTTTATCAGTGCTGGCAGGAATATTTCTACGGCTTCTAAACCCGCAGATCTTGTTTTGCTAGGGTGGGGCCACCGTATAAAGAGAGGCACTGCCACCCAGTAACAGCTCACAAAACAAGAGGAGCTGGCTTTCTGGCAGCCATTATTCATATCCAGAATTTGGTTATGGACTCATGTTTGGTAGAAGTACTAGAATAAAATAAAAGACTTTTATTCAGAAGGCAGAAAATGCAAACAATACTAAACCTCTGAGGAGATTCTGATATAGAATGATGTGAGCTGGTCCTGTGCTCTCCTTCTGGGTGAGGAATATAGAAGTCCTGTTTGCTGGTAGTATTTTAACTTTCCCGAATGCAGAAGTGGATGGCGTTGTTACATCACAACACTAGGACTCTACCTGTATCTGTACGGAGTTTGTATGCCCTCCAAGTGCTGCAGTTTCCTCCTACAGTCCAAAGACCTACGAGTGGGTGAAGTAGCTTTTGGGAAAAATTGACCCTGACACATGTACGTGTCTGTGTTTGTGTGTCTACCCTGTGCTGGGCTGGTGCCCTGCCTTGCTTCCTTAGGCTTGCTGGGATAGACTCTGGCTCTCCAAGGCCCTAATTTGGATGAAGCAGCTAGAAAATGGATGAATGGCATGCCAGCCTACAGCGTAGTGTTGTTGGTTCAGTGGAGATTGTGTAGTGAGGTCTGATTGCAGTGAAAGGCACTATATGGGTGAAAGATATAGTGCTGGTTATGTCCCAGACAGCGGAAACAGCTATGGTTTTCCAGGGGTGGAAACGTCATGGGGTGTCAACAGCTATAAAGGCTCTGTTAAAGACTCCACAGCTCAGACACTCAGCCCTCTTCCTCTCCTGTACAGACTGTGGCCGTGTCCATTTTCTCACACTTGACGTGATTGGTTTCGCGGCTCCAGACAGAGAGTGGGAGGAAATGGATGGAGAAGATAGCATCACTGCCTTACCACTCCTCTGCCAAGCTGCCCCCGTCTCCTAACGCATTGTAAATTGGGAAATAAGAAAACTCTTTCATTCCCTTTTTGGTAAAACGGTGTCAGCCATGTAGCCACTGACTGTACTTGCGCTCCTGCCACCATCACTGACAACCACAGTAGTGCACAGAAGGTGGCAGAATGACAAATGAGAAATCCTCAAATGGTGCAGTACATAAAAGAAAATAGCTTAACATATGCAGACAAGTGTATTTTTTTATCGAACAGTCCTATTCAGTATATGATGGGGCTTTATTAAGTATTTGTAAACCTGGCACAGAGAGATACTTATTATATTAAACTACTGTATGAAAAAACACATTACATATTTAAAACGCAGCTTACTTCAAACTGTCACTCTAATCTGTTGAAGTAGTTCAGGTGTGTAACTGCATCAGCATGCGTAGTCTGCAAAGGAACAAGTTGACACCCGAAGAAGTCTTCACAGCCGAAACTTTGTGTTTTCTCTCTTTTCTTTTCAGCATGGGATAAACCTATTACTTGTTCCTTTGCACTCTAATCTGTTGTCCTGATCTGTTACTGTCAGTGCCTGCATACCTGTATGTATTTAGGTGGCTTACTTACAGAAGACACAGAGGATGTTTGTGGCTGTCCAGCATCCCCGGGCGTGGTAATGACCTCTTGCTATTGTTTCAGAAGACAGAAAACTCTTTGTGGGCATGCTTAACAAGCAGCAGTCAGAGGAAGACGTGCGTCGGCTCTTTGAGTCCTTCGGAAACATTGAAGAGTGCACCATCCTGAGAGGTCCTGATGGAAACAGCAAAGGTAAAGCTCTTTGGTTTCATGTGACACATTCTTGTTCTCGTTCCTGTTCGTGTTCTTGTTTGCATTGTTACCTTGCCAAATGTTCTCGTTCTCATTCTCGTTCGCAGCTTGGTTCCCATTACTTTGCCAAATGTTCATGTGACACGTTCTTGTTCTTGTTCTTGTTCTTGTTCTTGCTCTTGTTCTTGTTCTTGTTCTTGTTCTTGTTCACAGCTTGGTTCCTATTGTTACTGTCTTAATTAACTGTTCAGTGAAGCCAAAGTCAGCACACGTCTGTTAAAAATGTCTTTGACAAATGTCTTTGCTATTACAAAGATGATTTTCCCTTCCCTCAATGCAAGTGCTATGAGGTCAGTGAAAGAAAGCAGGAATGTTGCTGGCAGGATGGTCACAGTGTAAAGTTGTTGGGATGTCTGGGGTCCATCCACTATGGGTTCCCACAATCCAATCAGACCCACCCTACTCCAACGCCAATAGTAGGATTTCAAGATGCAGAGTCTCACCTGAGTTTCCACATAGTAACACCTACTGTATGACTGCTGGTACAGTCATCAGGCACCCCTCGATTAGTAAAACAATGACTCAATGTGACACTTCAGAACTTTCATTACAGGTGAGATAACATGGTTTCTTCAGTTTTGCTCATTCCTGGAAACACAACGGGTCCCTGCAGGTCAACAGGCTTGGAGTGTGAGGGACCACGCTTTAGTTTGCTTTTTGTATTTAAGGAGTGCGAAGGGCACTCACTGAGCGTCTGGTTCTCTCTTGCAGGCTGTGCCTTTGTGAAGTATTCCTCCCATGCTGAGGCCCAGGCAGCCATCAGCGCCCTGCACGGCAGTCAGACCATGCCAGTGAGTACAGATCCACAGACTCAAGAGTATCAAAGCCATCGATCTCGCATTATCATGTTTGAAGCAACATGCTTTATGAACATGGCTGGGTGGTTTGTTTCTGGGTTCCACGGCCCAACCCTGTGTACAGATGTTTAGGTTCCGATGCATTTGCTCTTGTAAAAGTCAGTCTCTGAAACGGGGCATCCTGTTTCCCCGCTGATCCAAAGTGTCCTGTGGGTTGGGTGTCTTCCTCAGAAGATTTGCGAAGTTTAAATGTTTTAATCAGGCCCTGGGGTGACGTGGTAGTTAGCAGTGGTTAGCATTGCACAGTCCAAACACAAGCTGGTGGGTGAACTGGCTTCTGGGAAAAGTGTGTGAGTGTGTGCATGCTTGTCTCTGAGATGGACTGTCCTCCAGTCTAGGGTGTGCTCTGCCTTGTGCCCATTACTTGCCAGGATAGGTTCCAGCCTCCCTGCGACCCTGTATTGGATCAAGATGTTAGAAAATGGAAGGAATCATCTATGATCTGTCTTGTCTTAGTTTGTCTGTGAATAACACCTGTTTAAGACCAAGAATTGTGTGCATGCAGAACTGGCATCCAGCCCATGGATTATCCTTGCGTTGTTCCATATGTTTCAGGACAGAATTCAGGTACCGTACACAGGCGGACATTTCACTACATTTCCTTGAATCGTGGTTGCCCTTTAATTAATTAATTCTCAGTCCACATGCTGAGTTCTTAGTTTGAGAATGAATCCCTTATAAATAACATTGTCAACCAACATTCTGGAAATCCACATTTACCATACCACTTACCATATACTGTATTATCCTTTGGTATTAATTTCTAGTGTTGCTTGTAAAAAAAAAAGGGTTAATAATGTTAGGTAAATTCTTAGGTACTATTTGTCTTTGCCAAATGTTAGGTTAATTTGTTAGATACAGTTTGTCTTTGTTAAATCCATACTTATTATTCTCTTTTGGTTACCATAGATAATGGTCTCGTCTAACTATAAATAATGATTTTATAACACTGGACTGGAAGCCTATATGAATCTGTGTTCAATGAGAAACGACAGGACTTCAAACCTGCACTCACTGTACATGGAAAGGAGTTAATTTCAGTATTATGCCTTTGCTATGATCACAATCAGTGTTAAATGCCTCTGCACAGGAAATGTGTTATACTGACCAGCTGTGTACTATACAACCTAATGAGGAAATACATTTTCTCACAAGTAAGTAACATTTTTCAATTAATCAGACTTTATTATCTATTTTCATCTTAGAAAAGACATGAGGCTGGATTTCCTAGCATATGCATTTCAATTTAAGTCAATTGTGGTTGTAAAAATCCTATGATTTTCCAGCATGCTGACAAGCACAGAGTCATATGGTCCCCTAATCAATGAGGGCTTGAGTGACACCCTGTGAGACTGACAGACATGTTGCAAGACAAAGATGCAGTGATAGATTAACTGACTGACAGGATGGGAGTCAAACAGGCTTTTGGTAAGACTGGCAAACACTATGTTAAACTATCTGATATACCAGCAATGATACTGGATCAGCAGCCATCACACTGGCACCCAGACTGACAATCTGACACTCTGCCTGCTGATACACAGCACAGGACCTGACAATCAGGCTGAAGATCAGCCCTGGGTGACTGTCAGCAGAAGACTCAGCGGCATGGCTGTAGAGGACTGGCAAAGCCTGGAGAGGGTTCAAACAGGCAAATGACTTATCTTAGTCTTTTTATTGAAGTGTAGACAGCTGGGCTGCTGTTTGCCCACGGGGCATTTGAGGACACTTGTTTCCACACACACTCTTGCTCTCTGTCCAACTTTGTATGTCCACGGTGGTCTACCAACTCTCACATCGTCATAACCTCCCTGTCTCGGGCCAGGACGGCTCAACCTTGTATGACAGTCCAGCAATGCAGCTCACAGAAGATCCTTGGGATTCAGCAGCGTTGGAACAGCTGGGGGTGACAGGGTGTTACAGAGCGGCCGTGTCTCAGAGCCGTTTGGCAGTTTGCACTGCTCGTGAGAGAGAAAATAAGTGCAGGCCTTTGCATGAGGTGGTCAGAGTGAGATCTGCATCTGTGTTCAGTCTTTTCTTTTTAGAGACAGGCAATGAATAAAGGTCTAAACTATATTCTAGCCACGAAGAGTATTTTCACGGCACTATAGCTGCACTATATACATGTTGCACTATATACTGTACATATACCATATATATAGAGTAGCGGAACAGTTACATACAAAAGTTTGGATGAAATTGCATTTTTCATAGAATCTCTAAGTGAAAAGATGTTAACACAGCCTCTTCACAATTACAATTTATTTGCTGAATTTAACCAATTGAAAAAAAAAATAAAGCAGCGAATATTATTGGCATGTGCAAACGTTTGGGCACCCTGTCAGCCAGTACTTAGGAAGGTTAAAATTTCCCACGGGGTTTGCATGGAAAAGCAGGATAGCTAATGTTGAAAATGTAGACTTTGGTGCAGCTTGGGGTTTAGAAGGGCAGAAGCAAGGTGCTGTTCCCCTGTCTTTTAGGGGTTTGACAGTGGAATGAGTGAGGCAGGCCGGGTACGGACTGGGTCAGCTGTTTACATCAGGGTTGATGTGGCCTCAGAGCCCCACAGGTTTAGGTAAGGTTAAAGGGAGTAGGGGCTCAATGAGGGCAATAGGAACAGGGGGTGTGTGTGCACAGGTCCTCCAATGCCATGCTGCCAGTTTAGGGGGGCCCTGTCACACAGGGGTGACCATAACATGAACACAGATTTTCTGGACTGCAACACTTAGAATCTGAGAGTCAGTCCGCTAGATTGACTGTGTCAGCACCTTTGAGGATTTTGAACATTTGGCTATTTGGATCGTGGTCACTGAGCCTCTACTTCGTCAGGGGTCTGTTTCTCTAAGCTGTTTCTCACCCTGGTCAGATATTCATCATTCACATCATTCATGTGTATTGTCTGTTTGGAGTTCTGTAGCGTTCCAGTTTATGTTGTGTTCGTGCGTGGCCCAGTGGGTAACATAGTGTTGTTTGGCTTGTGCTGTGATTTGTACTGTTTATTTTTCATTTCTGAATCTGTTAGTTGTTTCTGCTTTGGCAACACTGTCATTCAGGGCTCATGCCAATGAAGCTCTGTGAATTTGATCAGTGATTTCCAAGCCTCACTGGAAAAACTTTACTGGGGATAGTAGAGAGTTTGGGCTATACAGTGCTGATGCATGTATCGGCCGTAGAACTGGCGCGCCAGAGGTGAAATCATTCTCACCCATCTTCATGGTCATTTTTACGTAGTGAGTCCTTACTCGGGTCCTTTTTTTTACTC